CCCCGGGTTTTTATGCTTATGTCATTATTCGTTCCCCTACGAGGGGGTAGCGCGAGGGGGAGCGGCCTTCTGAGAAGGCGGGGGGCTTCTCAGAGGGACGGGGCCTCCTATGCACGAAGCTCTCGTCGAGTCTCGGTCTCCAGGGCCCTTCCAAAAACGCCCCCTCTATCAAAGGAGTCCCCCACTTCTGAGAGGGCCGCTCCTGCTAGCCCAATCCCATTGTGCGCGCCGCCGAGCAATCCTGCCCAGGAAGCTTGATTGTTGATCAGCGCTGATTGTTCAGAGATACGTGCCGACCTGACAGGTTCCTCAACGTTGCTGGCCCCCTGACGGCGACGAAGCCCAAAGCGGGGCAATCAGAGATGGCAGATGACACGCCAGTCCGAATAAGGAACCCACCGCAGATTGCCAGGGCGCCGAAAGAAACCACCGCAATACCCAGAAACAGACCATGCGTACCACAAGCCCTGCAGTAAGACCAATGCGGGCACCAACTAGGGGGGGGAGCTACTCCAGAGGACACTTCTTCAACAAAGACTCTGGCGTTGAATATTGATACTGGCAAGGCTGCCTGTCGCGAACCGGCACTAGTTCAGGCGAAACGCTGACCTGGTGAGGGTCTTGAACTCTTCCTCCCCAAACACCCTGACGTAAAGCTGCACCGCCGCGGTGGCCAGGTGTGCCGTAGGTATCTGGATACTTGCGCTCGGTTCTATACGGTGACGTTCGCCGTGGCGCGATTCCATAACCTACGTATTATTTCATCAAGCTGGTCTTTCTTCTCCCCATTGCCAACTGCACATGTTCCACGTCCCCTCTTCCTCCGCATTCCACTACTCGTCGTCCTCCTGGTCCTCCTCTCCCCCCATACTCCTCCTGAACCTCTCCCTCTCCTGAACACCAGTCCAATACTACCCGAACTCGCATGCTCGGTATTATCCTCCTCGTCGTAATGGTCAACCTCCGTTTCATGCGTCCTCCCTCCCCTCCAGTGTCCATCCGTCTGTTCTCCCGCCTCTTCCTCCTCTTCCAACTCCACTGACCGTTGTCCTCCTCATCCACTTTCTCCTCTCTTTCATACGTCCTCCCGCGGCGTCACTCCCTCATGAGCTGCCTTGCGGCCCTCGTTTTTTGGCTTCGGGGGCCTGAAGGCATCCCATATACTCGCCTCAACCTGGTATCCTCCCAGCTGCAAGGAAAAAAGGCCTAAAATTTGTTGCACGTTCTGCTACAAGTGGCATGATCAAACCATGTCGGAATTGGGTGGCTTGTACCCGTACAGGTTGCTCATGCAAGCGGTGAGTTGCCTGCGCTACAAAACCCCGTGCCGCCCAAAATATAAATATATCCACCCGCCACCTTGCCCTCGTCACATCGTGCGTGTGTTTGTGTGTTTGTGTGTATGTGTGTGTGTGTGTGTGTGCGTGTTCGAATGCTTGTTGGATGTAAGTATGGTGGTCGCCCTGTCTGTTTTCGTAGTCTGCCCCACAGTCCCCCCAGCATGCCAAAGGTGGATGAGAAATGCTCCCAGGTCGGCCGAATACTGGCCAGCGTCCTCCGCACGCACCCCCTGATGTTTCCAAGACGCCCCAAGAACTCTCAACGAAACGCCCAGAGAGGCCTCGAGCGAGGCCCTAAACTGGCCCCGCGCACATGTTCGTCCCAAGCGGACGGGAATGGACGCTTCGGGGCGGGGACGACCGCCCCGCTTGCCCTGTCGGCATCGGGCGCACCAGGAGAAACGACTATGACCCTCGCAACCCTTCCCTGTTCCTCCCAGTTGCCCCCCCCCCCTCCCCCGTCCCCCCTCCTCATCTCCTTCTTTTGCTCCTCCTCCTCCTCGTCCTCCTCCTCCCCTTCCTCCTCCTCTTTCTACTCCTGCTCTTCCCGTCATTCCTCTTTCCCCGTTCCCCTTTTGAACCATAGGCTAAGGCTAAGGCTGCGAATGTGTCTCCCCTTCCACATGTTCCCTCCTCCTCCTTTCCCCGTCGAGCACTTCCTGCAGCGGGGCGCACATGCAGCGGGCTTCCTTGGCACCAGGGCTTTTCTCCTCGAGCCCCCCACCCAACGATGCGTCTTGCAAACTAATCATCCCCCTCATGCAACTCGTCGCCACCCCTGCCTCCGATGATTCCCCTGCCTCTCCCCCTATGATTCCTGACGCCGCCCCCCCCTGCATCGTCAATCCTCAACCTCTTCGTCGTCGTCCTAACCTCCTCAACCTCCTCACCATCATCATTATCCTAAACCTTTTCCCCCTCCATGCTTCACGTCCTCGTCAACATCCTCCTTCACCTTGTTCCACCCGTCCTCCCTCCCCCTCTCACGCTCGCTTCCCATCATCATGCGTATCCTTCGTGTGACCTCTCCCACGTTCCCCACACTCCCTTCCTCCTTCTCGTCCTCCTCCCCTATCTCGTGCTGCTATGCCTCCTCCTCTTCCTCCTCCGCACGCGCGCGCACATCCACGCAAGATCTGGGCTCGAGATTTGTAACGTAAGCCGACGTGGCAGGCTGTCGCCGTCTCGCGTCGGTGAGAGCCCCCGAGACGCCCTTCGCACGAAGGGGCCGCCGGGGGCGATGCGTGTCCGCCACGGGCAGGAACGGCAAACTCGCACGCGGCGCGAGGCCGACGAGCCGACGCGCTTGCACCACATCGTTTCGTGCAACGCTCGCCGGGGATCCGGTGGACATGGTCGAGAAAGCAAGCCAGGTGACAAGAAAGACAAGAAGACGAGTCCACGGGCATGCACGAACAACGCTTGGTATGAGTGGCCGCTACCCTGCCGCTAGATGGAAGTATGGACGGTGCGAGCGTTTGCCCACGTATGAGCGAATGGTTCGATCCACGAAAACAATCCAACTGCCCTGCATGCTCCGATGGAGGCGCCTCGCTTGAAGCCCGTGATCACCGTATGCAAGGGCGCTCACGCAGCCTCGAATGAAATCCCTCTCCCTGTCCACTTGTTATCGTCCCTCTTGTTGGAGAGCCAGTTTCCTCGAGCCGCTCGTTCATGCGCCTCTCCAGATCCCTGGATGGGGCCTGCCCGACTAGCCTGTCGCACTCTGGATGGTTGGGGACCCACTCCGTCAAGCAGCCCTCGCAGAGAAGATTTCTGTCCGGGCCAGGCTGCGCGTTAATTTCGAGATGGGCCCGCTTGCGATCGTGGGCCTTCACGGGCCTCGTAGGCCAGACTTCCTGTGCAATCGCCTTCCGCTCGAGGACTTGGTAATTCATGCTGTACGTGGTCAGGTCCCTGGTCTTGTCCTGACTCGCCAGCGTGCCCTGCTTGGTGAGATGGTTCTCCCACCTGCGCGAATGGGCACTCCACGCGTGGATGCGCGGGAGGCCCAGCGGTCCTTGAGCTACACGGTGTCCTGGATATTCCCCGCTGCCTGGTAATATTTCAGTGTCCCCGTCTTCACTGTCATCACGAGCGAGCACTCCACGGCGAACGTGAATACCGCCAGCAAGACGCACCTTAAGCAGCGAGCGTACTGCGATATATTTAACGACACATTGGCGATCAAAAGGACCATATGGATCATGCCGTTGGGAGCCTCGCTGACTTCTTCCTTCTTGCGCGCCAACTCAAGAGCCACTGCCGGGGCATCGCCGGCATAGGCCGCCTTGAGACCAAGGGCTATCAAGATAAACAAACTCGCGGGCTTGCCTTTGCGACTGGGCATGCTCCACTTTGACGCAATTGTCAACCTCTTTGTACAAACAAAGTATCTAGCCAATCATGTTCACGACCTGTAAGTATCAATACGGACAGGCCCGACAACAGCGTAGATATGTAGAAGGAGTGGAGCACAAGTTGTTTGAAGTGCCAGCTGGCCCTGGAGATCCAGAACTTGCGGTATGCATGTCATGCGACCGTCGCTGTTTTAACCCTGTTGCTCGATTCACCCGTCGCAGAACCATTCCAAGAGAGGTGACGGCCAAGATACCTAGCATGACAATTCCCTCCATGAAACCGACCTGACAAGCAATCTGGCTGAGTTTGCTGTGATGCACAACCCACGAAATATGGCACCGTTTCCGTTTTGCTCATGTTGCGGACCAGACCAGACGCACCGATGCTTGTGTCCAATGCCTCGCAAAACCTTCGCGCTGCAGCTGATACCGCAACATGGTCACGACCTGCCATGGGAGACGCCAGATCGTCGACACTACGAGCTGAAAACAGGGACAGGGGTAACTGATCAAGGCGTTCGCCCTTTCAAACAATAACCAGTCGAAATGATGCTCGTGTGATGCATGTGCGCAAGCACGGTGTACACCCAGTTGAACAATTCAGTCGCGATACTTTGCCCTTGGGGGGGCCCAATCTCCTGGCTTCAGGCACACGTGGCCGTCATACATAAGTCCGTGCGACGTGCGACGCGATATTTTCACGTGATAGGTATGGTTACTAGCATCTACAGGAAACTGCTTGATGTGTCCACCTTGGTCTACGTCGTAGAGTAACAGCTTGGACGAAACCCAGGCTTCCCCATGCCTCCACCGCATGATCTCCTGCGACCCGATGGCCTCCCCCCTCTGCCTGCCTGGTACATCCCCAAATATATACGATGTGTTAACGGACGTCAAAGAACAACTCGATGCTACCGCTTAGACAAAAAACAATCACAGAAACAAATCGGGCACCCTGTCCATGATGACATCCGACACAATGAGACACGATCTCTCGGCGCAGGCGTACTCTGGAGGTCTGGCTGCTGTTGAATTGGGCCCACACCACGTTGCGCATACGTTCCTCCTCCTTGCTCTCCTCCTCCTCGCTCCCCCTCCGCCCTCCCCCCTCATCTTTCTCCGCCTCCACCTCCTCCTCCTCCCTCCTCGCTCCTCCTCGCTCCTCGCTCCTCGCTCCTCGCTCCTCCTCCTCCTCCTCCTCCTTCCCAAGGAATCAGCAGCTCCAGTTCCCGCAGCTGCGAGGCCGCGGCCGCGGCCGCGCAGGCTCCGCGACCTGCAGGCGGGCGGGCGGGCGGGCGGCCTTCGGCAGCAGCGCCTCGACGCGCCTCGACCTCGCGCCGGGCTGCCGCGGCGTCGCCGCACACCGCCGCCGGCGGGGCTGCCGCGGACGCCGCCGCCGCAGCGGCCGCTGCGGCGGCAGCTGCCCTCCTGCTCTCCCGCCCTCTCCTCCCCTCCTGGCCCGCTGCCTCCCGCCTCCTGCTCCCCCTGCTTCGCGGTGGCCTCCATCATCACCCGCCCCCCCTTCTCTTCGCCCGGCTGCTCCTGCTTCTCCTGCTCGCCCTCCGCCTGATCATCTTGCCCCTCACCCCCTTCCATGTCTGACCCCCCCCATTCCTCCTCAGCCTCCTCCTTCACTTCCTCTCTCCTACTTATCCAGCTATTCCTGTTCATCCTCCTCTTCCTCGTCTCCATCTTCTTCCTCCTCCTCGTCCTCCTCTTCCTCCTCCTCCGCCTCCTTTCCGCCTCCCCCTCCTGTTCCTCCTCCTCCTCCTCCTCCTCCTCCTCCTCCTCATGTTCCTTCTCCTCCTTCTCCTCCTCCTCCTTCTCCCTGCTGCTCCTTCTCGTCCCTCCACTTCCTCCTTCTCCTGCTCAGCCTCATCCTCATCCACCTCATTTCTACCATGCCCTGGCCTCCTTCACATCATCCTACCCAACCCTGCTCCATATTGTTTTTTCTCGTCGTCCTCTCGGGCACCTTCCGCGGGTGCGCCCTTCCGCTCATTCATATCGTCCTCCTCGGCCCCTCTACTGCTCTCACCACCTTTCACCTTCCCCCTTTCGTTCATGCTCCTCTTCCTCAGCTCTCTACTCCCAACCCGGGGCTCCCACTCCAGGTCCTCCTCCCTCCTCCTCTCCCTCTCTCTCTGTCTCTCTCTCTCCTCCTCCTCCTCCTCCTCCTCCTCCTCCCTCCTCTCCTCCTCCTCCTCCTCCTCTTCCTCCTCCTCCTCCTCCTCCTCCTCCGCCTCCTGCTGCAGGCTCCTGTTGGCTCCGATGCCATCTGTTACCTCTGGCATAGTGCCTGCAATGAAGCGGATCAAACCACTGCCTGGGAAGATGGCGCGAAGGAGGGAAAGCAGGCGAGACAATAGATGAACCAGGCAGCGGGCTCGCCTCCGTGGACGCCCAGCCAGCACGCTGCCAGGCCAGAGGGACCGGTCTCCCCGCGAACGCGGTGGTGCTGGGGCCAATCCCTCGTTTGTGAAGGGGCCCTGGGACACACAAACAAATACGCACAAATCAAAATATCGTCCATAGTTTCCCATATTTTCTGGGTTTTTGTCTTCCCCCCCACTGCCCATATTTTCCTACACTTTCTGGGAAAATCGAAAATTAATTGTGTCTGTGTGTTTCTTTTCCTCCTGAGTTTGAGCATCGCCAACGAACGCTCTGCGTGGCGATTGCGCGGGCCCTCGTGGCACTCTTGGAGGAGGCAGGGACGGGCTCGAGAGCTCCCGAGGGCGCCGCAGCGAGCACACCACGCAACCGTATCCTTAAGTCGGGCGTGTCCACCTACAGAGGGTTTTGGACGACAACCTAAAAATACCCAGAAAAAAACTCGAAAGATACCCAAAAATATTCAAAAAATAGTCCCCAGACTATTTTTTGTACTATTTCTGAATAGTCCTCATGTAGAGGGACAGGCCCGACTTAACCGTATCCCCCAAGTACCACACCCTGCGAGAAGAGCAACCGGTCCGCGCAACCTAAGACGGCCCACCGCAGGGAAATACACTCACCGCAGCACGAAGACCCCTCGCCGCAATGCAAGCGCAAATGCGACCCTTTGGCTACGCAGTCTACTGCATGACCTCTGGGGTCGGGAACAGGCTCCAGCAAGCAGGGCGTGGCCCGACGGTGCCGGCGCACCTTCGAAACGTCGAGAATCACCTTCTCGGCCAAACCGTCCATGACTTCAACTATCAACCATGCCGACTGCCGAATCACGGGCACCAACTCTCGAAACTTCTCACGGGTCCAAGGATTGTGGGCTGGGCCTGTGCGCCTTTTCGGGCCACCTCGTCAGCCTTCATATTGTACCGCCACGTCCATTCTTCAACTCCTACCCTACGGGCCGGGGTCAGGGTGAGATGAGACTGTACTGTGGACAATACGATGGTGTCGAAGCCGATCTCACTTGCAAGCCTGAACATCTAAACCCGAAGCTCAGACACCGCCACCTTCTCCAAGTCCTGGTTGGGGCCTCTCTTCCAAGTGTCCTGAACCGCCTTGCAATCCGTCGCAACTTCCATGGAATCGGGTCCCGCCAATCGTAGGCTCATCAAAAACACGTAAACCTCAGCGCAACCGCTGGTTTGCACCGCGCTTGGCGACGGATCTTATGCTGATTACGGGTAAACTGGGGCAACTCTGGGTCCTCCTCCGCCCTCCTCCTCCTCACCCTTCCTCTTCCTCCTCATGCCCTCCTGCTCTTCGTCCTCCTCCCCCTCCGCAAGTACACAATATGAATACTACCCTGATCTCTACCCTGATGACGTCCGGAAGATGTTCGGCCCCCCTCCGAATATTGTTTTTTTACACACCGGATTCCTGGGAATTTGGTTTTCGCTTGGTTTCTTTTGCTAATGCTGCTCCCGCTGAAGAGCTGGCCTCATTTTCGGGCTTCCGCTCGTTCCGACTCGTGCTCCCGCTGCAACGCTGGCCTCATTTCCGAGCTTCCGCTCGTTCCGAATCGTGCTCCCGCTCCAGCGCTCGCCTCATTTCCGCGCTTCCGCTCGTTCTGAATCGTGTTCCCGCTGCAGCGCTGGCGTCATTATTTCCAGTACCATGCCACGGCATGCAATGCGATGCTATGTGGTGTTTTACTGTGCAGTGCCATGCCTTCAGCTGCAATGCTAGGATATGCAGTTCTTGACTACGCAGTGCCACGCCATGCTATGCCATGCTACGCTGTTATCTTCAACGCCATGCTATGCCATGTTCTGTTCTGTGCCGCTGTGCGATGCCAGTCTTTGCGTTGCAATGCTTTGTGATGCAATTCTTCACTACGCAACGCCACGCCATGCTATGACATACTACGCTCTGCCGTGCTCTTCTACGCCCTGCTATGCCGTGCTCTATGATGCATCGCGCACCCTCTCGGGATCATTGCCCTGCTACTCATCCGACTGTGCGAATAGAGAGTAGATCTACGCCATGGTAAGGGATAGGAGGGAGGGGTAGGACGTCAGACTTGACGCGAGCGCACCTGGCTCGTCCTCCCCCCCCTCCCCCCCCTACCCCCGTTTCCCCCTCCCCGATCGTGCGGACCCTTTGGGAAACTTCCTAACGCGCAGTACCGCGCAACACCGCGCGCAACGCCGCTCGAAGCCGCACACTGACGAACATTGGCAGCGCGTGAACGAAGGCTTCCGATGGGCTCCATCAAGCGCGCCACAACTCCGATCAGAAAGTGCAGCCGCAGTGATCTGGACATGTCGAGAACCCTACTTCAAATTGAAAACAAGACACAGGCAATGCAAATGCGTCCACTCTGCGTGTGTGCGAGGCGGTGTGAAAGAACAGCTGTGCAGTGTATACAGTCTTGCGCGTTGTTGTGCGGTGTTTTGCGGTTGGCGTTGCGCGGTGTTGTTCAGTGTTGCGCGGTGTTGTGCGGTATTGCTCGGGTGAGCTGTGAATTACAATTTCCTACTTATCCCTTTGCGGCCCTACCTAGGAGTTGGAGCCCCTAGGAAAGCAGCATTAGTAGTAACAGTAAAGCTAAGCTAAAGCTAAGCTAAAGCTAAGCTAAAGCTAAGATGAAGCAAAGCTAAAGCTATGCTAAAGCAAAGCTAGAGCTAAGCTGAAGCTAAGCTAAAGCTAAGCTGAAGCTAAGCTAAAGCTGAAGCTAAGCTAAAGCTAAGCTAAAGCTAAGCTAAAGCTGAGCTAAATCTAAGCTGAAGCTAAGCTAAAGGTAAGCTAAAACTAAGCTAAAGTTAAGCTAAAGCTAAGCTAAAGCTAAGCTAAAGCTAAGCTGAAGCTAAGCTGACGCTAAGCTAAATCGAAGCTACAGCTAAGCTGACGCTAAGCTGAAGCTAAGCTAACATTAAAGCTAAGCTAAGCTAAGCCAAGCTAAGATAATATAAGCTAAGCTAAGCTAAGCTCAGCTAAGCTAGGCTAGGCAAAGCTAAGCTAAGCTAAGCTAAGATGATATAAGCTAAGCTGAGCTAAGCTAAGCTAAGCTAAGGTAAGCTTAGTTAAGCTAAGCTAAGCTAAGCTAAGCTTAGCTTAGCTAAGCTGGGAACCGCGGGGCGGATGCCGAGGGAACCGCCCGGGCCGGTTTCCACTGCCCGGCCCCTTAAGCTCACACGGAAAGAACCCTTCTAGGCAGAGCCTAGGTAGGGAACAAAACTCCGCGCGATCGGACACGTACAGTCGGGGCGTTGACCTAAGGAACCCTAAATAAGAAACGAGGCTCCTTTATCCGTAAGGTAAACTTCGACTTCCCATCGAAAACCTAAGGAAACACGAAACCCCTCCCCAACGAAAAAGGCTCCTTCTTCCCAGAACCCCGACGTCATGATTTTTTCACTACGTCCACCCCCAGAAGTCTGGACCCCTTCCCCAGGACAGGTGTTTCATCCTGAGTCGTTTTTTGACGGTCCCGAGGCCCGGTAGTGGCCCCCAGAGGCCGAAAATAGCAAAAAACCTCCCGTCGTGATTTTTTCATTGCTCGAGGGGGTCTGGGCTCAGCGCCCCGACTGTAACTCCCCCCCCTCCGTGACGGCCGCGACGACCACGGCGAGAAAGAAAAGCAGCAGGCGGCGGCGGCAGCGCGGCCTGTCCAAGGGCAGCACCTCGTGCAGCGGCGGGGGGTGCGCGAAGGCGAGCGTCACGGACCTCGGCCGCCGACGACGCCCCCCCCCCCTCCAGGCAGACACAGTCCGCACTACAGCACAGAAACAAACCCCAATCGGTGGATGTTTTGATCGATACAGTCGGACTTGATTGGAGAGGACACACGAGAGGACACAAGACCCTTCCGAGGGCCACGCCGCCACAGAAGTGCAGGAGGCATGGGTCGCAAGGCAGGACACGAGGGTACCCTTGATCTGGCAGGGTCGACCTACTAATCCGGGCCGCGCGTAATAAAGACATCGACAGGGAACCCGGGAACCCGGAACCCACCGAGTTCGGCCCGGAACCAATAACCAGGAACCCGGAAAGCCGGAACCGGGAAGCCGGGAACTCAGCTGGCCACCCAAATCGGCGGGAAACTTCCACCAAATCTTTCAATTTCTGCTCGGACCCCTTCAGTGCAAGCACTGATTGGGGAACAAAGGGAAGAAGCGTGCCGCCAAATCGGCGAAAAGAGACGAGCCTTGCGCGAGAGGATACAGCGACCGTGCGCCGCGGCTTACGCGGGCCGCCAGCGCGGCACGCCACATGGGAGAAGAAGGCGCTCACGTGCGACCTCACGCAGGCAGCGTGCGCGCGACTGTCGGCGCAATCGAGCCCGTTGTTTTGCGTCGCTCGCCTGGAATCCTGCCCTGGATCCGAGGGGAGCGGTGGATGAGGCCACCACTGCCTGGGGCGCTCCTCGAGGCCCTGGTGCCCCACTCCGAAGCGGGGGATATGGATGCACTCTGGCGGTGCGGATCCTGGGGGGACATGGTCCTGGACTCTCACGCAGCCTCGTCTCTAATCAGGGGGGCGCAGCGACCGAAGCTGTGCCCGAAGACCAAAATCCGCGACCGAACGTGACCGAAGCTCTTGTTTCGAAACTTACGCGACGTTCGAGCTCGGTGCCAAATCTCTCTAGTCTACCCTGGGATCTAGATTTTCTTAAATATGCTAAGAAAACTCAGACTCTGGCTCCGAAGCTGCTTTTTCTTAATTATCCTGGAGGGTGTATGTTCAGCCACAATTTCGGTCACCGATGTTCTGCAATTTTCTTCGATCACACGCCTCTTCGGCTGATCCTCGCCGAGTTCTCGCCCTCTTCTCTCCCTCCCGCGGCCGCCCTGCCCTTCCTTTTTTCCCTCCTCCTGCATGCCAGCCAGTTCGCTGCGTAGCGTCCCGGCATCGTTGCCACGCTGGAGCGGATTGTCCCGCGTCGCTGCCGACGGGGAACAACTGCTCGGCTGATCATGGCTGAACGCCACGAGGGCCCTGGACCTGGACGGTTTCCCCAGGGGCCGCAGGCGACCCGAGGAGGGGAGTGAGGGCGAAGAAAAGGAGGAGGAGAAGGAGGAGCATGAGGAGGAGGGAGGATGAGGAAGAGGAGGAGGGATGATGATGATGATGACGACGACGACGACGATTATGATGATGATGAGGAGGAGGAGGAGGTGGAGGAGGAGGAGGTGGAGGAGGACGACGACGGGTCGCCCAAGTCCTTTGGAGAAGCCCCCCTCCTGGACCCCCCACGGGGGCCCCTCCCCCCATGGGAGCTGGCTCTCCGCCCCGGGCCCCCTGACTCCGGATCCGCCCTACTTTGGGGAAAATCGTAAGTAGGGCTTGGAATTTCCGCCTTACTTTGCAAGCCCCGCTGATGCCAATTTCCGCCCTACTTTTCTGTTGTTGTTTCCGCCCTGCTTCTGTGGATTTTCGCCCTATTTTATGTTGGGTGCAGAAATTTCCGACGCAATTCTAAGTTGGAAAAAAACCAAAGTAGGGCGGATCTGGAGTCAGGGCCGCCCTCGGACGGCCCCCGGGGGCCCCACAAGAGCGGCACCTGCCGGGGGGGGCCCCAATGGAGTGACCCACCCCCGGGGCCGAGGACGGCGCAGGGCCTCGGGACGCGCTTCCTGCCGGGGGCTTTGGAGCCCAGTGTGCCTCTGTTTCCAGTTCTGTGCGCGTGCCTTTCTTCCAGCTCTGTGTGTATGTGTTGCGTGTGTGTGTGTGTGTGTGTGTTTGTGTGTGTGTGCGTGTGTGCGTTGTGTGTGTGTGTTGTGCGTGTGCTTTTCCAGTTGTGTGTGCCTTTTCCAATGTGTGCGTGCTTTTGTGTGTGTGTGTGTTTTTTGTGTGTGTGTGGTGTGTATGTGTGTGTTTGTGTTTGTGTTTGTGTGTGTGTGTTTGTGTTTGTGTTTGTGTTTGTGTTTGTGTTTGTGTGTGCTTGTGTTTGTGTTTGTGTGTGTATGTATGTGTATGTGTGTGTGGTGTGTGTGTGTGGTGTGTGTGTGTGGTGTGGGTGTGTGTGTGTATGTGTGTGTGTGTGTGCGTGTGTGTGTGTGTGTGTGGTGTGGGTGTGTGTGTGTGTATGTGTGTGTGTGCGTGTGTGTGTGTGTGTGTGTGTTTCGCACGGGTTTCCGGTCGGGTCCTGGTGCCAGTGTGCGTGTGTGTGTGTGTGTGTGTGTGTGTGTGTGTGTGTTTCTTTTCCGCGACAACGCCCGCGGCTGGCGCCACTGCCCCCCCCCCCCCCCTCCTCCCTCTATACCCTCCCCCGGGGTCACGTGATGCTTCGCGCTGGCGCCCTCTGGGAAGTCGCAGTCTTCAGTCTTCATAAGCACTCCCACAGGGCGCGGGCGCGAGTCGTGACGTGACCAGCCCCATACCCCCCCCATCTCCAAGTCACGCCCCGTTGTCGCCAGAGAATCAGAAAAGGCTCTCCCGAGAACCCTGACGGGTTTCGGCCTTTTAAGCCCTGAGGACCCTCCCCTGAGATCCGACGTTGCGAAACAAGTGCAACTGCAACATCGCGAACAAATCACGACAGGAGCCCTCGACCCCACCTTCCTGACGCGCTTTTCGAACCGGATTTAGGTCGGGCGTGACCCCCTACAGGCGGATCTTGGGCCCAGACTATTGCTTGATTATTGTTGAATATTCCTCCTGTAGAGGGACGTGCCCGACTTAGCCCTGGACCCCGCCTTCCTGCCGCACTTTTCGAGCTGGAGATCGATCTCTGCAAGGGCCTCGGGTCCCGAAAAGCGAAGCAGAATATCCCCCGCCGTGGCAAAAAGTGCAACGCTCGGACCTGAGGGTAATCAGGCCCTGACTCCTCACGCTTCCCCGCGGCACGGGGAGGGGAGGGAGACCACCCCACTCCTAGAAGAAGAAAAACCTCATAAACATAAACTTTCGGCGCACCGCGCGGATTTCTTGGATCCGCGCCAGACCCCCCTCCCTTGCGCGCGGAGCGAGCCAGGGGCGGCGCCGGAGGCGCCGCCAGGGAGGCCGAGCGCGGAAATCCGCGCGGAGAGCCAAACGTGTGGGTTTATGTGGTTCTCTCCTCGTCGAAACTCCATTCTTCACCACCCTGAGGCCCGCAGAGCTGGAGCAGGAGAAGGGGAGCCCTCTCCTCCTCATCTCCCGCCTCCCCCCTCGCGCCATCATGGCTTATATTGCCCCCATCGTACTTAAGGACCACATCCCAGAATCAATTTCGAGCCCCCGGAAAAGTGTCGAAAGAGTGTCGAAAGAGCGTCGAAAGAGTGTCGGACGAGGGTCTCCCAGGGCCCGACACGCGAAAACCATATTAGAGTTTCGGCATTTTTTGTGGGGCCCGACATTTACTTGTGGTGATCATCGACGTGTCACTGTTGGGGGTTCTGTCCACCCCCATGATAAGTCATGGCAAAGCATGATAAGTCGGAACATGATAAGTCGGAACATGATAAGTCATGGCAAAGCAGAGGCCCGCACACCCGGGCCGCGCGGGCCCCACCCCGCGCGGAGGCCGCGCCGGGAGGCCGCACGCCGCCGCACGCGCCAAGGCGGGCGCGCCCGAGAACGCCTCTCTCGACGGGGGCTCCGCCGCAGAGACACTCCTCCTCCTCCTCCTCCTCCTCCTCCTCCTCCTCCTCCTCCTCCTCCTCCTCCTCCGCGGATGGGTGCCCCGGGCCGTGCGGTGACAGACCGCGCGGGGACCTCGGCATCCCGAGAGACCCTGGCATCCCGCGCGGCCATTGGGGCCCTATAGGGAGGCCCTGGCCGCCCGCGACGCCCCCGGAGCGCGGCCCGGGTCCCCGAAGCCGCGCGGTGCCCCCGGACCTCCCCATACTTTACCAGCCTGGAACATATCCCTATCCCTATGCTGGGCGCCTCCTCATCACGATGCCAATCTTAGGGATTCCCTGATTTCTTTTGAGAGCGAATCCCTAAGATTGTCATCGCCTTTTGGCGTGTCAATCTTAGGGATAGGGATACGTTCGAGGCTGGTAAACACTGGCTCCCCACATGCACGGCGTGGCCACCACACGGCTCAGGGGCAGACCTCCCCTGGAGCGCAGGAGCCCAGAGATCTGGCGCCGCAGTCGGCTCGCAGCGGGCGGCTTCGCCTTCTGTCGGCGGGCCCCGGGGCCCTCACGGATCGATCCGGCTCGAACTTTGCCGCTCCCCGCCCGTGCGCTTGGAAGCCGCCTGGGACACGGCGACCGCCATGCCTCCGGGAGCCGGGCCCGCTGGGGATTGCAGCTGCCCAGCAGCGATGGGTCGACAGACGGCGTAGGCACAAGAGACTACGGGCGACGAGCCTAGATTGTTTCCTTAAACCAAGAGGAGGAGGAAGATGAGGAGGAGGAGGAGGAGGAGGAGGAGGAGGACGAGGACGAGGACGAGGACGAGGAGGAGGAGGAGGACGAGGAGGAGGAGGAGGAGGACGAGGAGGAGGAGGAGGAGGAGGAGGAGGAGGAGGAGGAGGAGGAGGAGTAGGAGGATCGATGCGGGCTCTGAGGCTCTTGCTTTGTCGCAATGTTGGCACTGTTGCGCGACGTCGGACCTCAGGGCAGGCCCTCCATGGCTGCCTCCGCCGGACCTCCCGGGAGCTCACGAAGGAAGGGCTTGTTTGATTCGCGCGCGCCGCCACTCCGATGGACCTCCAGGGGGCTCAATCTACATACAGTGGCGGCAGTTGCGCCTGGCAGCACCCAGTGCGGGCGAGGGAGGGAGAGCGAGGAGAAGAGGAAGCAAAGCCGAAGCGAGAAAAGGCAGCGAGGAGGAGGAGGAATGAGGCGGGAGGGACGAGGGAGGAGGGAGGAAGGAAGGAGGAGAGAGGAGGGAGGAGGGAGGAGGAAGGAGGAGGAAGGAGGGCGGAGGGATCAGCATCGCTCTCCCCGAGGCGAGCGCCAACACAGGAGGGCTGGGAGCTCGAGGGCGACGAGGGAGGCGGGGAGCGGCCCGCAGTGGGCGGGAGATGAGCAGCGGCGCTGCAGCTCCAGAGAGGTGGGGGAGGAGGAGGAGGAGAGGAGGTGGGGGAGGAGGAGGAGGAAGGAGGAGGAGGAGAGAGGAAGGAGGTAGGAGGAGGAGGAGGAGGAGGGGGGAGGAGGAGGGGAGGAGGAGGAAGGGAGGAGGAGGAGGAGGAGGCGGAGGACAGGGGGGGAGGAGATGAAGAGAGAGGAGGAGGAGGAGGAGGAAACGGTGGGAGGGGAGGAGGGAAGGAGGAGGAGGGGAGGAGGAGGAAGAGGAGGGAGGATGAGGGGGGGAGGAGGGGAATAGGAGAGGGGGGAGGGAGGAGGAGGAGGAGGAGGAGGAGGAGGAGGAGGAGAGCAGCGAGGGCCCAACACGGGAGCGCTTGAGCAGCTCCTCTCGGAGACCTCACCCCCCCCGAGCGATGCCCGTGCGGAGGGGGCCGACCCAGCAAGGGGGCCGGGAGCCTCTGCCTAATTGGCACGTCGCGGCGGCGGCCCCTGCGACACGCCGTGTCCTGGGAGCTGACCGCGCCTCGCCCCTGAGAGGCCGCGCTGCGCAAGCACAGGAGGACGCCCGGGGCTCCGAGGTCGCCCGGAGAGGCCCACCGTGGGCAGGCTGTGGCTGGCGGAGGCTCCGGGCAGCCCCGTCCAATCATCGGCACCTCTTCGGGGCCCTTGCCCTGCGCAGGGAGGAGGCCGGGAACGGGTGGGAGAAATCACGACGTTCGGTCTGCCGACGGGTGGACGTAGTGGAACCTAGATCGGCGCGGGGCCATGTCGAGCAGGACGCTTCGGCGTCCAGCTCAGAACCTCAATATCACACAAATCCCCAATATCCCTCCTCCTCCTCCTCAACCTCCTCAGAGCTCGATCCTCGATCCTCGACGTCCCCGATGCCGACGACCTAGGGTATCTCTGAAAAGCCACAAGATTCTGAAAATGTCGATCCCCGGCACAAGCCCCCTGCCCCTCCCCCTTTCCCTCCTCCCCCGCCTCGTCGCCGTTGAGGCGCAAGCTTCCCAGCCGCGCGGCCCCGCTGGGCACGCCAGGCTCTGGCTGCGAACCGCGGCTGGCCACAGCCTGTGGCACGATCGTGGTCACAATGGACTGCTCGATGAAGACGCGACTCTCGGGCCGGGCGAAAGGGGGGAATAGCAAAGGGGGGGGGGGGGTGCGAATCAGCTCACGCGGCTGATTTTCCCTGTGCCTCCCAGCGCTGGAGGCGGCCATGTACCGAGGACTGAGCCCCTCGGTGGGGCCGAAACCAGCTGCATGCAGCAGACTTCGTGACCCCCCTTTCTCCATCCCCCCCCTTCGTCCGGCCCGAGACTCCCAGGCATCAGCGCAGCCTCCCGCAACAGGCCTTTGATCGGGTCGCGGGCGACGAGAAGGAGGAGCACGAGGGAGACCTGGATGCCTGGGGGCCCGCGTCGCAACGGCGGGAACGTCTCCACATTTTACGAAAATCCCACGTTTCCGACGTTCCCGTGGCCTCGGGCCCCGACACCGTAGCAGAAACGGCCTGGGGATAAAAACGCGCCCCAGGGGAAGGGGTAGAGTTGAATCAAGCATATCCTCCTACATGCGAATTCTTGAAGGACAGTAAAAAGCATGGTCCAACATAAATAAAAGAAATAAAAAAGACCACGTCAAATCGTGACCATATAATTGCTTTACCGTTCTTGGATATTCCTCCCGTAGGGGGAACTGCCTGCCTCGAGGGTAGACAGATCGATCCTGGATCCTCAGATCGCCCCCCTCCCCATAGCACGACCGCACAAAGACACGAACCCTCGGAGCGTCGCGCGGACTCTTCTTGAAGGTCGGCGCCGGGGCCCCGCTGGAGGCGCCGCGGAAGGCAGGGGGAAGCCGCGCGGACCCCCGGACGTTCGTGCTCGGAGCGGTCGGTCTCGCTCTCGAGCTCTCGACAGGTCTCGGTGCCGATCTCGACCTCGATCTCGACCTCCGAAGGTGCATGCTCGTCTTCGAGGATCTCGATCTCTCGGCTTCCCCGGCCCCAGGCCCTCCCCCCGAGGCGGCGCGCAGAGGTGGGGCAGAGGGAGGGGGGAGGCTTCTCAGAAGGAGGCTGATTCTTAGAAGGCGCCGGCCCTGCAACTACAGACATGGAGCGAACCTTACAAGAAGCGAAGCAGGGGTGCTTCTACGAAGCCGTCCCCCCTCCGCCTGCCGCCCTCTGCGCGTGGCTGAGCTGGGGGGGGGGGGCCCAGCACTGATCCAAGAAATCCGAGCGGACCTCCGAATGTTCATGTTCGAAGCTCTCGATCTCGATCTCGATCTCGATCTCTCGAAATATCTCGATGCCGATCTCGACCTCCATCTCGACCTCCGAAATGTCCTGCTCATGTTCGAGGATCTCGACCTCTCGGCTTCCCCGGCCCCCGGCCCTCCTCCCGTGGCGGAGATCCGAGCCGCGGACGGGCTCACCAGCTTGGTGGGCAGCTGCTGCAGCGATGTGACGGCCTCCGCCGCGGCAGGCCGCCAGGCAAGCCAGTCGCGGCAGTCGCCGCCGCCGCCTCCGCCGTCGTCGTCGTCGTCGTCGTCGTCGTCGTCGTCGTCGTCGTCGTCGTCGTCGTCGTCGTCGTCGTCGTGGTCGTCGTGGTCGTCGTCGTCGTCGTCGTCGTCGTCGTCGTCGTCGTCGTCGTCGTCGTCGTCGTCGTCGGCACCGCCGTCGTCGTCGTCGCCGGCGCCGCCGCCTTTGTCGTGGTCGTCACCGTCGTCGTCTGAGGAGTGGGAGGGAGGGAGGGAGGGTGGAGGACGGGCGATGGCGGGGTGAGTGGATGGAGGGGTAGGAGGACGGATGGAGCATGGAGGAGGAGAACCTGAATAAATCCAAGACGCATCAACGATGTTACAATAAACCCTCCCTCCAAGTTCCCTGTTCTTAGGTCCCACCACCAATTTGTGTTCATGGCGGGAAATGCCCCCTTGAAAGGCAAACATATGAGAATTCAGCCGTGTCAAAATACCACTTATGAGACTTCAGCGCCGCCAACCAGCGTGACTGTTTCGCCCTGCCAATCCTCAATCGCTCCAGACCACAATTCCTGGGACTTCAACACCACGAATCAACGTGACTGTTGCGTCCTGACAGTTCTAAACTGCACCAGAACACCATTACTGAGACTTCAGCCAGAAGGCTTCTTGAAACTGCTGCAGTTGTTCAAAACAAGTGTGCGCGGCGCTGCGGCGAGAGCCACATTTTGAAAAGGGACCCCCCTCCATCCTGGAAGCTGCTGAAAACTCGCAAGAATGTGCGTGGCGCGAACTTGAGAGCCACAGTCTGAAAACGGCCCGCACTCCACCCCTGAAGCTGCTGCAGTGTTTACGGCGAGCCTGCTCGCCGCGCAGGCGAGAGCCACATGTTCAAAAAGGGCCCGCCCCATATTCTTGAAGCGGTTGCAATTTATATATATATATATGTAACAGAAAAAAACGCGGCGCTACGGTAAGAAACAAAAACACCTTTTGGCACCTGCCCGCCCTCCAACCGTGAAGCGGTCGCAAATTGTCAAGCTTCAGGATGATACATAGGGGGGACGTCTCCGCCGAATCGCCCGCCCCGCCCCACTGGCACGCCGGGGGGGTGCGACGGGGGGGGGAAGTCGTAAGGAGCAAGGATGGAGGAAGATGAGGCTGGAGAGAAGGATAAGAGGAGTGGGAGGAGGCCGGGGAGGTGGAGAAGGATAGAGGAAGACGGAGGAGGAGGAGAAAGACTGAGGAGGAGGAGGAGGAGGAGGAGGAGGAGGAGGAGGGGA